TACGAAGAAGTCATGAAAATTCAATGAGGTGAGAAAAGAGGTGAGAAAAGAGGTTAGATCTCACCTCTTCACCTAAAATAATATTTTTGTCTGATTTACACTCATTACGATGAAGAAGTCTTGACAAAACATTTACGTTCATTACGATGAAGAAATCATGACAAAACATTTACGTTCATTACGATGAAGAAGTCTTGACAAATCATAAACGAAGAAATCATGACAAAACATTTACGATGAAGAAATCATGACAAAACATGTACGTTCATTACGATGAAGAAGTCTTGACAAAACATGTACGATGAAGTCATGACAAATCATTTACGATGAAATCATGACAAAACATGTACGATGAAATCATGACAAACATTAACGTAAACATTTATTTCCTGTGATGTTGTCAAAATGTCATGTTGTCACATTTTTTCAGAGAAGTTAAATAACCTGGTGACATGGTGACATGGTGACACCTTCAGTTCTTCAAAATAATTCATAACTGCCTTCCTCCTGTGATGTTGTCAAAATGTCATGTTGTCACATTTTTCAGAGAAGTTAAATGACCTGGTGACATGGTGTCATGGTGACACCTTCAGTTCTTCAAAAATAATTCATAACTGCCTTCCTCCTGTGTTGTTGTCAAAATGTCATGTTGTCACACTTTTTCAGAGAAGTTAAATGACCGAGTGACACATGGTGACGTAGTGACACCTAAAAACCATCTACCCTAAACATTATTTTTGCTGAATTCAACAACAAAATGAACGAGGTCAGGATGTATGCAAATACCTTTGAATTCATTCATAAGTTCCTTAGTAAGCGCATAAAATGCTTGTTTTGAGGTCGAGCCACTTTTGGCTTGACCGTATTCTTTCAATCAAAACTCAAGAATTTTCCTGCGTGAATTTTGTATAAAAAGCAACCGTCTGAATTCCGGCGATTGCTATATTCTTCACAAATGCCTTATAATACTCTTCGTTCTACAAAGCAAGCATATCATTGGTTTGAAAACCAACAGATAAAAGAAATTTTAGAAGAATTTCCTCATATGATTGCTTCCCTCGGAAAACCGAGAGAAGAGATTCCGTATGAAAATTCAAGAGGGTAGAAAACATGTTAGAAAAGGTGTTAGATCTAACATTCTAACATAAACATTATTTTTGGGTCATTTACACTCATTACGATGAAATCATGACAAAACATATACGTTCATGTTTGACAAAACATAAACGATGAAATCATGACAAAACATTTACGCTCATTACGAAGAAACCTTGATAAATCATTTATGTTATACAGTAATGTTAGTCATGAATGTTTGTCCTACGTGTTGGCGTTAGTGTTGAAAAATAATGTTTGTCCTACATGAAGCCGTACAAGCGTTTGAATTTGTTTATGAATAAGATTACACTCTTGTTTTCTGTATCTATCATACAAACATAAGCAGCACCTGTTTTTGTAAAGTTTATATGAAGTTTTCGATAGTTGATGTAAGGAAGATACCATTCACCAGGGCTAAACAAGAACTCATCGAAATGAACAAAACACCTTACCAAATGTTTTACGAGGAGTTTTATGAAAAGTTTGTATCCGGATGGAATTGTACAGAGTGCTACAGAAGATATAAAGAATTTGCGAAGGAGAATGAATTCTTTGCATGTAGTTCAAATGTATTTGGCGGCAAGATGAGAGAATTTGTGAAGAGAAGTAGAAAGCGAGACGGTTCTGCAAGAAGTTATATTTACGAAGCAAGTATGATATTAGAAGGTCGTGGAAAGAAAGAAACAGTGAATTATGAGGAAGTGTTTGAAAAATTCATGGAGTACATGGGAAGCAATATAACATACAACAAAGACATATACAGTGAGTTTAAGTACTACTGTGAACAGCATGAGATTGAAGTAATGAGTAAAGGAGACTTTGAAACGCTTATGAAAGACAGTGAGGAGGTCATACATGAGAACAGTGTTGAAATAGTTCATGAGAACAGTGAGGAGGTCGTTCATGAGAACAGTGATGAAATAGTTCACGATGTCGTTCGTGAAGAAGCCATTGCAACAAAGAATGAGATAAAGGATTTCATAGAACTTAACAAGGAGGAGTTTAAAGAAGGCTATGAAGTGAAAAGATGTGAAGAAGATTTCTTGGCGTATTTGAAGAAAAAGAGACTAAAGCCAATGGCTCAAAATAAGTTTCAATCGATGTTTGAAAAGAAACGTTTGAGCTATGGTGGTGTAAGAAGCACATATTACTTTGTTAAGAAGTGAGGACATTTATTTTTGTCGTTAGTGTTGGAGTTTGTACTTGTTGTTAGTGAGAGAATAAATTAAATCATGAACTTTGCCATGGTCTCTGTCCCTAGTAGTTTTCATTAAGTTCTGGAAATAATGAAAGTCATAAACTTTGCCATGGTCTCTGTCCCTAGTAGTTTTCATTATCTCACAGAGTTAATGAAAGTCATACTTTCTATCAGATGAAGCATGCAGATGAACATAATGAAAGTTAGTGAGTTTGCCACGAGTTATGAATAAAATATTGGCATATTAGATGTGATAGCTGATGAAACAGATGAAGATAAATTAAATCTTGGACTTTGCCACACTCTGTCCCTAGTTCCTCAAAATCCTTGACAACGTTGCTTAGAAATTTTGGTTCAAAACCTCATCTGATTTTAATCTGTTATGCTACCTGTTAAGTTTCGCGAGATTATAAATGTCATGGAGTTATATAAAAAGGAGGGACAGCTAGGGACACTGGAAGTACTTGTAAGGCTATCTGTTAAGATTGCATGAAATACTAAAAGTCATGAAATCCATTATCGCTGTGCTATCTTCACCTTAGAGTAAAATGACAAATAAAGTCACTGAAGCAATGAAACAAAAGTTTTTGGTAGAATACATTAAATCAGGAACTATTCCAGAAGGTTTTTACATTCATACTATGAAGGATGGTAGAGTTCAGTTTAGAAAGATAAAGCAACCATTAGATAAAGAAGGTATATTAAGGAAGATTAAACTTCATGAGGACAACATTGGTGAACTTAGGAAGAAGTTAGAAGAGTTGGAGAAAGCAGACGACAGTGAGGAATAAAGCAATGAATTCAACAGGTTAGAAATGAGGGTAGAAATGAGGTTAGATCTACCCTTCTACCCTAAACTTATTTTTGCGCTATGTTTTCATACGTGTGAGGGTGGTGATATCATTAATTTTTAAGTTTATTTTTATATAAATGACGAAAACTATTGAGATAACAAACTACAACGGTCATGAGTTCAAGAATTTGTTCTTCGTTCCTCGTGAAAATATAGGGTGTCCAAAGGTGCGTTTAGCACAGCGCTCTATATGAGACTATTAAAGGAGATATATGCTGATTATAAATATATAATAAAAAATATGAATATATGTATATGATGAGTATGTTGTATTTTGGCGCCATGCCGGGATATAAAATGAATTTTGAGACAAGAGGCGGTTTCGCGGGAAATTTTGGCGGGATTTTTTTCATTTTTTTAATGAATCATAAAGAAAACATCCTCGCTCTTGCAAAAAAATGCAAAGACTGTAAAAAAATCTACGAGACATTGGTAAAATGCTTCGGTATGGATGCTCCTAGCTATTCCACTGTAACGTATCATGTTAGGATGTATCACTTCATGAACAAAAAGGCGCCCATCATAAAAATTGACAAAAAATCGCCGGATCAAAGAAAAATCAAAGCAATTCTTCAAGCGCTAGATGAAGACCCAAGAGCATCACTCAGAAGGATAGAGGAGATGACAAAGATACCACGTACAACAGTCAGTTATTATCTGCACAATTATTTGAACTACAAACTAGCGTATACACGTTGGGTTCCGCACAACCTTAATTCAGTTCAAAAAAAATCTAGAGTCCAATCTTCGAAAGAGCTCCTCTCTATATTGGGTGCGTATCAATCCAAGAAGTTTCGCTTTTTAGTAACAGGGGACGAGTCTTGGTTTCAATATGCAACAGAAGCCAAAATCATGTGGATCCCGAAGGATGAAAATCCGCAAACATTCCCGAAGAAAAAAATTGACACACCAATGATTATGTTGTCGGTTTTTTTGGGCGTGAATGGCATCATCGCAATTGATATTCTTCAAAAACCTAATACGATGAATGCTCAGTATCTAAATGACAATGTTCTTACTCAAATTATCAATTCTGATGAGTTTGGGAAATCCAAACAACAAAAACAAAAGTTTGCAATTCATTTTGATAATTCAAGAGTTCACAAAAGTCATAAGGTAATGAATTACTTGGTGGAAAACAATGTCAAAGTTGTTCCAAACCCAATTTATTCACCTGATATTGCACCCTCTGACTTTTATTTATTCGGCACGCTAAAAAAGAGAGCTGAAGGACGCGAATTCGCGAGTCCAGATGATCTTGAAAATTTTGTAAGAGAGCAATTTGAGCAATTTTCTCATGATGATTTAAAGCGTGTCTTTCAAGCCTGGATCGATCGCTGCGAACGCGTGATTGAATCCAATGGTGATTATATTTAAATAAACTTTATATATATGTAACTTGTTTATTTCTATTCGCAGTATTCAGGTTTGTGCTAAACACACCTTTGGACACCCTATACATTCTATCAGATACGAGGGAGAAAGGGTAAAGTTAGTTTGAGCGTTTATGAAGGAATGAAGAATGGAAAGTTTATACAAGCATACGATACAAACGGTAAACGTGTTTCATTACATTTGTCAAAACTTACTAACATTTATTTTGACAGTGACTTTGACCTATATGAAGAAGAAAGTGAGTCAGAAGATTATGAGCTGTTATGTGAAGCACAGCAATGGGAGGAGTTGCAATACTTTTGTAAGTGAGAACGTTTATTTTTTACATTAGTGAGGTCGTTTGTGAAAACGTTAGTGAAGTGAAGTGGTTGGCGGCTTTGTAAATATTTAATGTTAAGTTAGTGTTGTCGTTTGTGTTGTAAAAATATATGTTAATGGTTTTGTAAATATTTAAGGTTAAGTGGTGTACGGAGGCGCGCAGTGCCTCAGTACACGACTTAGCCATACTAACTCGGTTTGGTTTTGCAACTGTAAAAGTTTTTCTGCCTTTACATTTGCTTCAACTTCTTTTTTATACTCATCGCTATCCATATATGTCTTCATGGCTTTTTGTTTTATCTCTTCATCTTTCAGTACTTTATATTGAGTAGTATGGTTTTTCAAATTTATAACATCTTGTTCCATTTTTGCTACTTCTGCTGCTTTTTCTGACACTTTTTTCGCATATTCCTCTGTACTTAGTTCTTTCAGTTGTTCTTCTTTCTTCTTTTTCTCTACGTTTAACTCATTGAGTTTCTTTGTGTGTCTGTCATATTCTAGTTTCTTTTCGTTTTCACTTATTTGTTTCTGTATGTCTATGTTTGACTTTTTGACATCTGTTATTTGATTTTTGAGTGAACTCAAATTCATTTGACTTTGAGGGTTATAAGCTGTTCCGTCTGCAGCTCCACCATAGCCTGCCATTTTCGCTAAAAGTGCCGCTCTTAAACCTCCACTCTGTGCACCAATAACTCGGCTTAAAAGCATAGGGTTGCTTGACATTTGTTGCAACATAGTGGGGTCATTCATCATTTGTTGTTGCAACTGTTGTTGTGGTGTCAGTTTTACTATTGGATGTTTCAATGCTCCCTTCCTCTTACGTATATTCTTACGTAGCTTACGTGGCATTTTAAGTGAAGTAAAAAACGGTTTTTGACAGATGTTTATATGACACTTTTTGTTCAGCACAAAAAACTACTCGGTCAAAAGTGTTGTCAGTTTTGTAAAATAACCGTCCTATCTCATTCTATAAGGGGGAAAAGGCTTCTCAAAGTATACTTCCTTGGAACGCCTGTAACTTTTCCTGTAGCGACGATAGACCCTTACTTGTCCGGACAAAGTTATACTATTTTGAGTGCTCTACAAAAAAGTCAACGGCGACGACTCTTAAAAACCGTTGTGTAAAAAGTTTTACCGTTGGACAAAAAAGTATATATAGAAAACAAAAACGTTTATAGTTCATTCAATATTTGAGATAAACCGTTTTTCCAACGGTAACTATTAAATAAAATAAAAAAAATAGAGGGTGTTACCGTTGACGAAAACG